CATGATGATAGATTTTGCACCGACTCGCCAAAAGTGGCGTCGCAGCTGAAATGTGGAGAATATGTATCCAGGTAACGAGTAAAGCTTCCTTCAATGATGCGGTATTCTACACATCGCTCAAATTAGGAGAACTTTGATGTCACAATTCGTCAACATACATGCTAAATTGCCTTAGACATACGCGAGTCAATACAGTATCCATAGAAGAATCTTCCAGCCAGAAGGTATATTCGCTCCTGAAGGAAGTCGCGGCATTCGATTTTCAGCTTTTCGGAAATTGTAGGACTTAGTGGTTGTTTATCAGGCTGATAATAGTATTGACTTCTAGCCGTATTATTGTCATACAAACAAAGGATGCCCAAATGGATGCGTATTTCCTCCTAACATGCCTACGATGATGTGATTGGTCAATTGATGAGTAACCTTATCGTAATTTGATTGGCCTGTCTGGCAATTCTGTTGTGTTGTGGTCCATGTTGTTTAAATTAAGTTCTGACACTTTGTTTTTTCAGTATTCTGATTTCCTTAATTTGATAGATCCCCTTCAGAATAGGTGCTGTTTGCGCACTGATTCCCTTGGATCTGATCTTTTGGTTGAATTATTCTGTTTGATACAGTTTTCCTCCGTAAAAAGAGGACACGTTTTTGTGGATAATTCTTCCTTAGATCTATACGTATCAGATACTCTTTGAAAAGTATATAAATGCAGGCATATATGGAGGAAAGAGACACATAAGTACCAACCAAGGGTGTATCTTCAACGAAACTTTTGCAAGCCACTTGCCAAGGTGGTAAAACAGCTCAGTGGTCATCCGAACAACAGTGGAAAAACAAATCCATTTACTTGGCACGCTGCTATTACACACATTTTTTAAGTATTCAGATGGTTCTGTTTAGCCAGGGGCACTGGAACGATGTCAACGGTTGAACGGAACTCCAGTTTCACATTTTTGTTCTTCTTTCACTAAAGCTAAGCATATATTGAAGCAGTGAGTACGCCTAATCCATAATGTTGCACCACATATGCAGAAAGGCTTCCTGTTGAACACACTTGCGTCGCCGATACACTGAACTGGCGCTTTTCAACTTCGCAGTCCTGTTCTGTCGGGGTGGTTGTTTTAACCATGAAACAACAACATGTCACATTGTTGATCATAGCTTACACCTATGAATACTAGAGGCAACATATGTTGAATACGCTGTTAAAATTACCAGGTGATCGCAATCACCTGCAAGATAAGCGAACGGTCGTCAAGGCTCGGTTAACCAGAGGGAATCAAACTCTGTTTTAAAACTGTTCCTCAGGTCAATACAGTTCGATCGTGAGAACGGTTTAAAGTACCCAGGGGATGTAATACAAAATATGCAGTAAACTATTTTTGAATAGATTTTGAGGCTCACCTACCTGTGCATCTTTGTTCGTGCTGTGTACCATCCACGACTCGCGAATGATGAGACCAGTGCCGTGTCTTTTGGTATGTCTGGCAGACTGAATCACTCGCATTAACGGTATGTTACGAGGCGTGTTTTGACTGCCGAAAAAGGGAGCAGAATTTCTTGCGACATCACCTTTGAAAAGTGTTCAAACTGTGTTATTTGCTGGTTGGGCAATAAAGACACCTCAAGGGAACATATTGCCTCAGATTGATGTCTTAAGCTGGGTTTATCGCCCAAAGCGGCCGGGCGCTGATCTGAACTATGCGTGTGTGCGTTTAGATTTGAGAGTTAGATTCGTTTTACCATGATCTTTGTGGAGGGTGCACCTTCACTTGTTATCCAAAACCTGAAGTACACAATGTTGTAGACTATATTGATAAATTCGGTGGAGTAGCTAGGAAACGGGACTGTGAGAAAGGATTTTCGCGAAATGATCTGTTCTCTTTCTGAATGACAATCAGTTTGAATGAGAACAAGAGCTTAGACAGTGGGGGGTAGTACAAAACACCTGGAGTATGCTCTGATCCATGGTGAACTGAAGTGCGCACCTTCGAGAAACTGGTGCTTGACGCAAAGGGAATTTCTTCGCTTCTTTGTATGTACTAGAAAGATTGAAACTTCTGGTAAACTTGGGGTAATTTCGTTTTTTCTCTTCTAAGGAGTGTTTTTCTTTGGGGGTTTGAATACACTGTTACAATTTTCGACCACCAACGGTCTTAAAGATTCAAACAAAGAACTACGTGTTGCTCTACTGGTCTGAATTTTATTTGTCTGTTGTTTTCTTGAATAAATCCAGCCCTTCATCAATGAATTTAGAATGGAATTGAACAAAAAGTCAGGGGATAGAAGGAGGTATTAAGGTCATATTTTACTGTATCTACAACCTTCAAACTAGGTTTCACGTTGCGAGCAACACGAGCGCAGTTTTCTCGATGCTGCTGAGTATTGTTTCCGATTCGAGAAAAACTGGTTAATCGACGAACAAACCACCTGATTCCTCATTAACATAGATTGAGGGGGAGAAAACGTCGGACTACAGACACACTAGACTAGACATCAGACGTGTTACAGTTGGAAAAAACACCCGGACGGAAAAGCGTTTTTTGAGCCAAATTTTCTGTGTGGGTTTCTGACAGAATGGTGAGTTTGACGCGACAGTCAAACTGAGAGTATGGTAAGTGTCACATCAATCAGATAAC